GGGCGACCGTGGGAAAATCACTTGACATAAGAAAGCGTTATTTCTTCAGTGCGCTCAGCTTGAGTTCGATGTCCATATTATTGACATGGATTTTTTTACTTCTTGATTAGTTTAACATTGCGATAGTGTCCAGTGGCCTCAGTCAGCATTTGTGTTAGGTGCTGTACAAACTCGTAGGAATGGTTTACAATCTAAGCCCACAGACCCAATTCCAAGGTCGGGGCCTACCAGGAAAAGTGTGTGTGTGGGGGAGAGATCCTAACTGCTTGGAGTCTTTAATGACCACATGACACTTTTTGCAAGAATCTAGGCCCCGGTGTCAAATTCCGGCAGGGGTTATTGCATTCATTCAAGGCTAGGGAACTCTTTCCAGGCAGAGCTCTGTCTCCACGCGGAGCGCCTCTGTCTTTCATGTCTGTCTGCTACTCTCCTTTCAGAATTAGGAGCCAAAATTCCCTTTCATGCTTTCAGTGGGATTCTCCTTCCCTCACGCTTCCTCTCCTTGGCCCTGATCCCGCAATGCGACCCTCTAACTGCTCTGTTTAAGTTGATGGGCATTGAGGGTGCTGAACACCTTATTTGGGGGCCTAAATGCAGATGTGGGGGCCCTAGAGTTAGGCCCCCAAGTTAGATGACATCAGCCTTTGCTCCCAGCTCTCCTAACCAGGTTTACAAGCGTGAATTGTATTTTCACGCATTTATTTAATTGCAAAATGACTCCCTGTATTGTGACCGCATCTATAAGCCCCAGTCGCACACAAAGTGTGAGGTGCTGCACAAACATAGGACTCTGCCTTTGGACCTCTGCCTCGTCAGCGACACCTGACTCACCCTAAGCTGTCAGGTTTCTCCCCAAGCAGCAGGGAGAAGGGGCCAGGCGCTCGGTTGTAATAACAAATGGCACTTCTGCACCGGTCGGGTGGCCGTCTGCTGCTGGGCAATCCGTTCTGGGCTGCTTTTTCACGGCTCTTGTCTTTTAGGCAGTCGCTGAATGTCATGGCTGACGACAAAGCTGGTCCCAAGGTCTCTAAAAAGGGAAGCTCGCAGTCTGGAAACTCCCGAGGGGATGCCACGGAGCCCAGCACCCTGTTACAGAAACTGAAGAGCACCATCTCGTAAGGGCAGCATCTCCCTCTCGCTTTTTGATGGCCGGCTTCTTAGTTGTTTTCTTAGTGGTAGTGAAAGGGGCTGGCCGCCCAGCCTCGGAGACGTTGCGTTGCTCTGCACCTTGGGTGTTGTTATCTCTTTGAATTGTGGTAGTGTCAGGATCTCGTAGTGCTTGGTGCTGTGTGCAATTGATTAGTACAGGCCAACTCCAGCACCCGCACGCTAAACCCTACAACCGAAACGAGACCGAAGTATCACAGCCCACAGGGACCCCCACCCCCCCAACGTCCCTGCTAATCTGGCCTGGGAGAAAATTCCTTCCTGATCCCACATCTAGCTGTCCGTTAGACGTAAATGATGCTCAAGGTCTTTAAATATTAACAGGCAAAGTGTTTTGCTATGGAGCAATGAGGGTTGCTGTCCACATGCAACATGCCTGACTGAAACCCACATGAGCAAGGAAAAGAAAAAGTCAAGCCACGTGGCCCTACATGCTCCACCCACAGACACGCTGCTTTCCCTTACCGCTACCCCCGCCCACACATGGTAACCTTAACTCTGCCCTGACATAGCCTCCCCTCCTTCACGCTGGCCTCCTTTGTAAAGTGCTTGGAGATTGATGGATGAAAAGCACTATATTAAAAACTAGTCAGTGTTGTTATTTGCTAGGTGAAAGCCCACGTTGTCATATGGATGTAATTCCTGAAGAGTAAAAACAAACAAACCTGAAAGTGGCAGAGAACTTAAAAATTGGAAGGTAACCGGCGATGATTCAACCGGGTGATACGCTGAACAAAAAGAGCTGTTCAGCCATGTTTGTAGCTGTGTCCGTCACTTCACACCCACTCTGGTCCTCAGTAGACCCTGAGCGTGTGATGATTTGGTGACGCTGACTCAGCCAACATTCTAGGCTTCAGAGTGATACACAGACAGATACGCAGACCCTGGACTCTGATTACCAGTTTATCCCCTCCTGACACTATTTGTTGTGAGTGTTTGGTGCAGAGGTGTGAGTGGGTAGTTTCTGTAATATTTTTATGAATCCTAGGTATGCCTCAGTTTCCCTCTTGCTACCCAGTGGTTTAACCCTGCTCCTGGAACAGGGCAGGAGGGGCGTGTGTCACCTCACTGTCTGGGGGGCAATGAATAGAGTCAGTAAAGAACTGGCTCAAACCAACCCAAGTCAACAGAGTGTCCAGCAAGACAAAGAGATGCCCCAAGGACTGAACGCCTAACAGCAGGAAATCCCC